TTACAATTCTAATATTGCTAAATTTTAAGTTAAATTTCTCAAATTTTATGTAAGTTGCTTAACAAAAATATGATATCGTCCAAGTGCTTGAACGTTTTATTTGAAAACTTACCACTCTAATATTGCTGAATTTTATACAAGTTGTTTAACGAAACTATGATGTAACACAAACGTCAATATATAAACAGATTGCATAAATTAATTTACTCACCGATCGCTGCTACCGCACTAGTTATTCTTAAGTTACTATTTACTTTAATCGGAAATCGATAAAATATTTTTACATGTAATAGATTTACTTCATATTCTTTTAATTTTCCAACATAATATTTCAACTAAATTGTCTATATTTAAAACGCATCGGAAAAATTACTGCGATAGCAAAAACGTAAACACATTTAATGCGAGAATATTTTACATAATCGCGAAAAATTCCACATAATTACAGTCGTGTATTATTCTCTACACATGTAAATATCATGCATTAAATTTTACCAACTACAGAAATGAAAGTGCATTTTAACTTTCATACTTGAATTGCAAAACTCCGGGCGCAAAGACACGCAAAACGGACTGATCGAACATTATACCCAGAGAAAAGTTTGCTCGAGATCAAACAAATTTGTTTGAATTTTTATTTAATTTCAAAGACGTGACTTCTTTACCTTAACCAAAATTTCATTTCATTGAGATTGGAATTTCCAAGAAAATTCGTATCCATTTCTTCAAATCTAGCCAATGTTAGAAGTAAATAAAATGAATAAAGTTAAATCGGACCATTATGATATAAATCAAACAAGTGAGATCGCCTTTAGGTCCGAGCAAGATGTTGGTCGGCCAATAATTGTAATCTAAAATGAATTCGTACACCGTTTTCCACCTTGTCTTGCACGCCGGTTTCTTTTCGGACATAACACAGTTTCATCTAGATGGAATCATTTGTCGTCAGTGAATTCACATATTAAAATCGATGAACGATTTCGAATTATTTTAAATGCTATATTTAGCATTCAATGCCCCCTCCCCGTACTGTGACGAATTCTTATTGCGAAAAATATTACCGAGGAAAAATATCGAGGTTCCTTTAGGTCCGGAAAAAAACCGACGCGCAAGACGAGATGGAAAACGGTATATGAATTCACATTTTAGATTACAATTATTGGGCTACAACAAAGCATACTTGCGTGTATGCTTTGATTTAAATAAAATGTGAATTCTGATTAGTTGATTATTCACCATTGACCTCAAACACGGTGTTTCCCACGCAATTAGGAAAGGGGGAGGGGGAGGGAAAACTTAAAAATCGCGTATTCGACAGTTTTGTGTACGGCCGACAACCCTTAACGGCGCGCAGTTGACAAAAGTCGAAAATATACGCATAGACAACATCTTTATACTGTTATTGCGACAAATATTATCATACGCCTCGGTGGTCGAATTGGTGAGACGCCCGCCTAGAGTGCAGGGAGGTCCAGGTTCACACCCTGGCTGAGGTAATATTTTTCGCAATAAATTTTCGGGTGTGGTCAAGAAAACACTGACGTTGTTAATTACCGCTGGTGACATTGAAGAATTCTGATTAGTTAAATTAAATGATTTTCGGCGGTGAATCGGAGAACGCGGGAAGAGCGGCGCGGGACGCGCGTGAGAGTTTAGCGACGTAACGGGAACGTAACGTCGCGCGAATGCGATTATTTTTACGCACCACACTGTTACTCACGTGGTAAAACTGCCCCGCGAACGACCGGTCACTCCCGACGTCGTATCTACGCGCAACTCGCGCTCGGAAGACGCAAGAAGCGCGGAGCGACCGACCTGCGTCGAAGTAGCAACCAATATGGCGCCGCAGGGGTAGCCGGGAGTGGCGCGACGCGCAGGCTCGTGACGTACCGAGAAAGCGGCGAAGGACGTTCGAATTAACGCTCGCGGGAATACGACGCTGTAAGTAGTGATTGTTGTTTCACGAGAATTACGGACGACAGTCGTTTTCTTGACGGATGTGCTTTAATTCGAATACGTCGCGCTTGGAAACGCTCATCAATTTGGCACGTGGATGTCGCGGCTCGTCTCGCGCGCGCCGCCTTCGGTCCCCGTCGCATCTGCTTCGCAGATAAAAGTTCGCCGCACTCGATACTTATTCAAATTTTCATTTGTAATTGCATTTTCGCACATAGCCCGATTCAAACTCAGTTAAAACCATTTTTCAAACGGTCTAATAAACAAATCTCGAGAACAATTTTCTTTTATTTATCGCGTTACTTGTACTCGCTTCGGCAAGTCGGACGCTTCGTATACTTGTTGCGCCTTTCGCGTGCGAATTGTGCGTGGATACGATACCGTCGCTTTGAAATCAAACAAATTTTCTTTGAATTTTGACCTCACCAGACTTTTTATTTAATTTCCTTAATTCCTTAATTTACCTTAACCAAAATTTTATTCGATTAA